AGGGCTTTCCTCACAGGCTGGCCCTTTACACTTTGCTCGCTTATCCTGTAATCTTAGTGTCCTAAAATATCTCTCATTTTAATTGGATGTCATGTTTCAATTTTGATACCACATCTTTGTCAAGGGCCTGAAGGGGTGAGTATAAAGAGTGCATTAATGAACTAAGTGAATTAAACTGGAAAAGATTGCCATTGAAGAGGCTTATAAAGGAATAACTGAGCTAAGAAAGGCCAGAGCAGTGCAGCAAAAACAATTTCAACCTTTAAAATGCTGGAGGATATATGGTTAAAAAAAAAAAAATGAAGTATGGATTAATACACTAGGATGAATTAGCAGGACAAGGGGCTGTTTGGCATAAAATAGATAAATTAGGTCTGTGTTTATGATGGGAAAATGTAATTTGATCACCTGTGGGTTTACAGAATAATAATGGTTCCTTTGGAGTGTTTCAGGAAGACCATTATGTATGCCTTGTGATCCATATTCTTTCATATCGTCTCTTTACGAGTCTCGGTTTTTCTATTAAGTTTTTTTTTTTTTTTTTAATTTTCCCTGTCTTCCTTCCCCTCTTTTAGCTCAGATCTGATTCTTGTCTAAGTGTTTCTACAGAATTCTAACTAGTCCTTACGTTTTTGCCTGTATTAAATTATTCACCAAGAGAGAAAACTGTTACTGTGGAGAAATCTCTGGGAGTGTAGTCAGCTCTTGACTTTGCTGAAGGCTGTATACAAATCTATTCAAAAGTTAGAACTTCTAGGCCTCAGTTTTCTCTTCCATAAGTGGAAGAAGTTAGACTATGTTATTCCTAATACTGCTTTAATTTCTAACATGCTATAACTCTGCAACTTTGAAGGAGTTTTTCAGGATTGGGGACTACTGGTCTGACAAATACTGCTCACATGGAGGAAAAAAAGATTTTTCACTTAGGCAAACCCCATAGAGAAAGTGAACATTGTTTAAATAATAAGACTCTTCCAAAATGAAGACTTTTTGTGGCTCTCAATAGCTAATGATCCTGAGTTCTGAGATGACAGTGGACCTTTTATCCAGGGCAGAAATTTGAAATAGGTATGATAGTTGTGATCTGTTGACTTTTAAAGTGAAAAGAGACAGAAAGAACAATCTAAATTGCCAATTATTATGGGTTTACTAACTGTGGAAGATATCTCTGAAATTAAAAGTCCCTCACAAAAGGAGGTGGAGTTATAGATGAAGGGTTTTTTGGGGGTTATGTTCAAGACCTATCTCTATATCGGCTTAAGGCTGAAGTAATGGACAGAGAATTGAGACAATAGGCCTGGAAGCACTGCTTAGTGGAGCAATTAGGCTGCAGCATCTGTCATTCTATTGATCTCTTGGATTGATTCCATTTATATGGGAGGCCAGGCCAGTGCCTCTTGACTACCTCACCTCTGTAAGTGCGTGATTTGGAGGCTATTCTTCTATATAGTAGAGACCCTTTTTTCAGGGGGGCTTACTCGCATGCTAGGTAGAACCCAAGCTCCTCTTCAGTGAGAGCAGCAGTAATATACTTAGTGTTATTTTCCCAAGAGAAATAGATGTGTCTGAAATATTGCAGTGATTCGCCCGTCCATCCAACCATCCGTCCAGCCATCCATTCGATGAATAGTCACTGAACATCTACCATAGACCAGGCAGTATGACAAGTGCTGGTGAGTCAGACACGACTCTGGTCTCATGGAACCTACAGCCTCTCCCATCGTAAATTTCTGATCCTCACTTGTTTTTCTTTTCCCCTCCCTCCTCTTCTCAAGCCTCCAAAAGATTCAAGCATATTTTTGTCATAATCGAAAGCTTTTTTTGACAGGTTAAAAATTATGTGGTACAAATCTTAGAGAAAAAATTTGTTGGCTGTGATGCACTTTAAATGCTTTTTTAATCCCTCATTGGGAGTTTTAGATTCCTCTGAGCAAAGCTTTTGCCTTTTGGAGTAGATGGGCTTTACTGGCCTTTTATGTATGCGGCAGTGTGTGGCCTCCCCTTGCCCCTCATCCTCAATGCACTTGTTTTCTTTGTGAAATTCTCGTCTTTAAATTTCTTTTCTGTCATATTATGTAAGACGGAGACCTGGAATTATGGGAGAATCTACTTCATGTTACTTCATAACTCAAGAAAAGGCAAGAGATGAAACTACTTTTATTAATAATGCTAATAATTATTAAAGTAACATTTATTATTAAACACCAGGCAGTGTGTCTAGAATTTCTAGTGAGGTATGTATTTGTTTTCTAAGAACAATATCTTCTTTATTGAGATCTGATAAAGTAATCTGCAAATTGCAAGGGCCCCAATGTACTGTTGACTCATTGTTTCTTTAACCTGTTTTTCCTTTTTTTTTTTTTTTAAAGATTTTATTTATTTATTTGAGAGAGAGAGAGAATGAGAGAGAGCACATGAGACGGGAGAGGGTCAGAGGGAGAAGCAGGCTCCCCGCCAAGCAGGGAGCCCGA